AAGCAAGTGTATTCAGGACACTGGTGTGAAGCCTGGTGGATGCTTCTGGGGACGAGTCTTGGGCTCCTGTGTTAGTGTGATGCCTCTGCTCCTTCCAGTCCTTAGCTGGCCCTGGCATGACTACAACCAGCTACTGACTTGAATAATGAGGGGTTCAAACTCAGATCTGTGTTCTTACCCTTCAGGCCACATGCCCCTCTTAAATTCTAGAATTTGGCAAAGTTGTAAATGCATGTTTGCCAAAGCTATGTGAGGTCACATGTTCAGACTGAAGGAAATACATAGCCTGGTGTGTTCCACACTTACTCCTTTCATGGAATTGGATGACCTGAAAGCTGTCGGCCTGGGTTTGGAGAGTGGGCTCAGTCATTAAGAGCATTTGCTACCCTTGGAGAAGACTTGGTTCAGTTCTCAGCATGCATATAGTGGCATACAAGTCCAGCTGCAGGGAATCTTCTGGTTTCCATGGATACCTGTGCATAACAGGCACATACACACATACTACATGTACTCATAATCTTCTGGGGCTGAAGAGAAGCTAGGATCATTTATTGCTCTTCCAAAGAACCTGGGTTTGTTCCCAGAACCCTTATCAGGCTGTCTTTGTAGGCATCTGCACTCACATGTACACATGTACATACCTACATGTGACACACAGACCTATTCATTTTGGTTTTTTGTTTGTTTGTTTTTGTTTTTGTTTTTGTTTTTTTTTGGATTTTCGAGACAGGGTTTCTCCGTAGCTTTTGGTTCCTGTCCTGGAACTAGCTCTTCTAGACCAGGCTGGCCTCGAACTCACAGAGATCCGCCTGCCTCTGCCTCCTGAGTGCTGGGATTAAAGGCATGCGCCACCACCACCCAGCTCTCATTTTGGTTTTGAGACAAGGTCCTACTATATAGTCTTGGCTGTCATGGAACTCACTAGGTAGACCATGCTGGTCTTGCGTTGCCTCTGCCTCCCAAGTGCTGGGGTTAAAGTCATATGCCACAACCAGCTTTACATACACGTAATTTAAATAGATTTGTTTTTAGTTTAAAATCTTTTTCTTAAAAAGCTGTTGGAATTTAGTGTAAGATAGTGTTTTCATCCTAATTGGCTTCTGCCTCCTGATGCCCAGCAGCATCCCCTCCAGGGTAGACTGTCTGCTCTTACTATCTTTCCAGGAGACTTAGGTTCTAAGTATTCAATGAAGCTCAGCTGGCCTGTAGGGTGGGGAGTACTTGGAGAGGTGGCTCAGGGCTTAAGAGCATATACTGTTCTGGCAGGTCTTGAACTACGTTCCTAGTACCCACATAGGATAAGGAATTCAATGTTTTAGCTTCTAAGGACATAGGCACTCATGTGTGCGTGCACACAACTAAATCTTAAAAACAATACCGGAAACTGGCCGGTGATGGTGCATGCCTTCAATCCCAGCAAAGGCAGACAGATTTCTGTGAGTTTCAGGCCACCTTGGTATAAAACACTAGTGCCAGGACAGCCAAGGCTGCACAGAAAAACCCTGGAGGGAGGGAGGGAGGGAGGGAGGGAGGGAGGGAGGGAGGGAGGGAGGAGAGAGAGAGAGAGAGAGAGAGAGAGAGAGAGAGTGAATAACCCAAAAAGGGGGGGGGCTCAGTAGTACCACAGAAAGCTTATTTCCATTAAACAGGGAGCTGTGTAAGGCATGGGAAATAGACAAGAAAGAGGCTTAAAATTCTGCAGAGGTTGACAAGGTGAATCAGCAGGAAAGGTGCTGGCCACACATGCCTGAAGACCTACTCCCTTTAATCCCCAGAACCCACAAAAAGGTTGGAAACGGCTTCCACAAAATCATCCTCTAACCTCTACACGAGCCTCTTCCCCATAATAACAGTTCTGAGATGTGATTTTAAAAAAAAAATACATGTTTGATGGCCAGTGAGAGGGTTCAGCAAACAAAGGTGCTTTCCACCAAGGCTAAAGACCTGAGCTCAATCAGAGCCCACACAGTAAGAGAAGACCAGCTATTCCCACAAGTTGTTTTCTGACCACACACAGCACACACATGCATGTTGCACACACATTCGACATAAATGATACAATTTTTGTGCCTGCTGAAGCTTTACATCGACAGCTAACGTTTATGGGATGCTTGCCAGCATTCCATACATTACAGAGAACTTGACGCTAGATAGTTCTCACTACACATCCCAATTCTATGATCCTGAGTTCCCCCCCCTAAGGATAAAGTTGAGTATCTTAGCAAAATCACAGTCGGCAGGTGAGCCAGAAAGTCCACACTTTGATGCTACCTTCTCGAAGAAACTTGAACCACCTTAGACTTTCTGCTGTTCTGGGATTCCACTGAGGAATCCTTCTCTTCCCAGCATCCCGGCTCTACCCTTTCAGAACTGTCACCAGCTCCTCTGGAGGAGGAACAGCTTTTATTCTGCCTTTGAAATTACCATGTTCACAGATGGTCAGCCCTGCTATATATAGTGGGAACTACTCAAAGGTGGAGTCTTGGGTCAGAGCCCAGTAGAGCAGCCCACCATGACTGTTAAACCGAATTTTTAGTGGAGGCTGTTGAGTGGCTGGCTAAACCCTGTTTCAGTTTACAAGAAGTAGGTAGCTAGCTCCTAAGCTGAGATAAATGACCCCCCCCACCCGCCCACCCAAGAACCAGTCCCAGGCTGGGCTGTATGTAGTAAATAGCCTGACAGTCTAGCCTTGCCTAGAATGAATGCAAGCTGAGGCTTACAGGTGGGTGGAAGGTTCTTGGTGGTATGGTGTGGCCTTTGGTGCAGAGGGCACCCAGAGTTGAGAGGGGACCAGGGGGGGAACTGTGGGTAGGAGACTCAAGCTCCTGAACAAAAATAATATGGAGAACATCTCACTGCCTTCTCCAGTTGCCAAGCCCTGTGGATTCAGCCTCTCACTTCACCCCGTCATATTAGAGACCCATTGTCAGTCCCTCCTCTATTACTACATCTGTCTCCAACCTCAGCCCCTGTCTTGTCTCCCCGCCACCCACACGCCCCTCAACATTCTAGTTCTAACCTCAGTGTGGGCAGCTTCAAAGGCTACTTGGCAGCATCGTCCTTAGAAAGCCAGCACTTTCCCCTTTTCTCCCTTCTTTCCATTCCCCTCACTCTCCTCCTCCTTGTTCTGCTTGCTTTTGTTTGGAGACAAGGTCTGACTGTGGAGCTGTGAAGCCAGCCCTAGCCTTCTGGAACCGCATAAACGATTCCCGCCTTGAGTTCGCAGTGATCTTCCTGATTCCCCCGCCATTCTTTATCTTTATGGGGACTTTGAAGTAATATGGAAATTGGGCTGTTGGATAAAAGACAGGCTGTGGATGATTACTTGAAGAATTCAGCTGATTCTTGAAACTTGAAACAAGGCTGGAGAGATGGCTTGGCAGTTAAAAGCACTTGACTGCTCTTCAGAGGACCTGGGTTCGGTTCCCAGAGCAGCAGGTGGCTCACAACAGGCTGTAACTCCAGTTCCAGGGGATCCACTGCCCTCTTCTGACCTCAGAAGAGAGGACACTGTACACAGGAAGTACACACATTTTAGAACAAACTTTTGAAAGGATCGCCTCAGCATATTTTGGTGACCATTATACAGTTATTTGGATTTTTACTTTGAATCCACACTGGAGAATTCATAACTGGCCCAAATCCACAGGTAGCACCCACCGCCTGCAGGGCTCTGTATGGTCTCTCCCCTGGAGCCCCTTTCAGCTCTTCAGTTCCTCTGTTTTGTGACCAGAGGTAAGGCACTTAACCTCTGTGTGCCTCAGTTTCCCCATCTGTTAAAAAGAAAGGTTCTGCGGGGCGCGGCAACGCATGTCTTAATCCCAGAGGCAGGCATGTGCAGGCATATCTCTGAGTTTGAGGCCAGACTGGTCTACAGGGCAAGTTCCAGGTCAGCCAAGACTACATAGTGAGAACCTACCGGGGGAAAAAAAAAAAGAAAAGAAAAGAAAAGAAAGAAGGAAGGGAGGGAGGGAGAAAGGAAGAGAGGGAGGGAGGGAAGGAGGGAGGGAGGGAGGGAGGGAGGGAGGGAGGGAGGGAGGGAGAGAGGGAGAGAGGGAGAAAGGGAGAGAGGAAGCGAGAGAGGGAGGAAGGAATGAACGAAGGAAAGACCACTGTGTGCTCCGTAATGGTGTGTGAACACTAAGAATAGGCCTGGAAGCTCTGCTACCTGCCATTATGACACTCCCAGCCTCGACACAGTCATTCCCTTTGCAGGGCACTTTCCTCCCACTGACTTCCGTCCTTCCTGGTCAATTCCTTTCAGTGACACTTTCAGAGCGCTTTGGAGCCTTTACAACCTAGAGGCAACGCTATAGCAGCAGTCAGGAGAGGCCCGAGTGCAGAGAGCCCTGTAAGTCAGAAAGTTTTCCTGGGGTTCCTTTCTTGCAAGCAGCTGGCGGCTGTCACAAATGAGGAGCTAAGCAAAGGTGTGTCCCCTTTGGGAGGCTCCAGAGGCCATCCATGTGGGATCATCAACGGGATACGCCAGGTGGAGAAGGAGCCTGGCACTCGAGGAGTAGCGGGGACTGGGCCCTGGCAGCTGAGGGCAACGGAATGTGCCCCACCTTCCCGCACGGCTGGCACCAGCCCAGCCCAGACGGCCGGAACTATGTGTCTGGGCTCCTTCTATGTCGCTATGTGGAGGAGAAGGGCGACCCGGCGGGTCCCACGGCTGCCCGGGAATTCAGGATCTCGCCCGCCCCAGGGCGCAGGTGCCTGCTTCAGAGACCCCGACGTCTCCACAAGGAGCCCGGCGTGCGCCCCGGAAGCTGGATGGGGACCCAGGACACCCTTGAAGGCCTCTCCCCAGCCCGCCCACTACTTACCTCGGGGTCGCACCAGGCTCTCCCACCACTGCACCTCAGTTGCAGCGAAGACGCCGGACCGGAGTCTGCCCAGGCTCGGACACGCCCCCGAGGCCCCATTGGTTGGCCCGGGCAGGGGCGGGGCCGAGGAAGCTCTCTCCGGCTCGTGAGGCCACGGGAGGTCCAGCTCCGGACACTCGAGGGTCTGCGCTTCGGGAGCCCAAGTTTCTCTGCGGGACCTACAGGCTTAGCGACCGGCTGCCGAGCGCGTGGTGCGCGACCGCCGCAGAACTCCCGCGACAGCTGCGAACTCAGGGGACCCGCTGCACCGTCCGGTCCTCGCCGTCGGGGCGTCGCTCCCGGGCCCTGCCGGCCGCGAGTGGATGCGCGTACGCTGAGCGTCCGAGATGGCCGTGCGACCGGGGCCGCTCTGGTTGCTGGGCCTGGCTCTGTGCGCCCTGGGCGGCGGCCACTGCCCGCGTCCCCCCCACACCTGTCCCCAGCGTCGCCTAGGAGCGCGCGAGCGCCGAGACATGCAGCGAGAGATCCTGGCGGTGCTCGGGCTGCCTGGGCGGCCCCGACCCCGTGTACCACCCGCCGCCTCCCGGCAGCCAGCATCCGCGCCCCTCTTCATGTTGGACCTGTATCACGCCATGGCCGATGACGACGACGGCGGGCCCCCACAGCCTCACTTGGGTCGCGCTGACCTGGTCATGAGCTTCGTCAATATGGGTGAGTTTGTGGAGGGCCCCTCATGGCAGCAGTCTCCATGCGGAGTGGGCATGACCGCCTATCTGGGGATGATGCTCTCTGGTAGTGCAAGGCCCCCCTGGGACAGAGAGTCAAGGTGCAACAGCACCACTGGGCTGTAGGCGACTGTAGGGATCAGGGCTGTAAGGTCTGAGGGCTATCGCAGATTCCCAGGGTGTTTGCCCACCAAGGCGGGCAGGAGTGGGAATCTGGTGATGCCCAGGTCCCCTAGGCCCAGGAAGACAGCTGGTCCTGGGAATGCTGATGAGTAAACAGAGGGCTATGGTACTGTCCCTGTGATAAACGCAGTCCAGAAGAGAGGGGCAAAGTTCAGTGTGGAAACCTGTGGTCATATCATCAGAGTGACCAGAGCTGACCCACACGCCCTGACGGCAGGTTCTTTCCGTGTAGCAGGAAGCGGGTGGGTGGGGTGCACTGTCAGGAGGTGGAGTGGACAGACTCAGACCGTGACTGTAGTTTTGTGGGACTGGGCCCGAATATCTGGACCTTGGTCTGGCACAGGGTGAGTGTTCAGGCCAGTGAACGATTCAAGAGGCAGTTGTGGGTCTATTCTCCCAAAGTGTGGTTCTTCCTTTTTCCATGTATCTCAAGACCTCAGGGCCACCAGTCTTTTGTTTGTTAATTTACGTGTATGAGTGTTTTGCCTACATCTCTGTCTATGTACCACATTTTTGCCTGGTGCTGGAAGGGGTCAGAAGAGGTCATCAGATCCTCTGGAACTGGAGTTACAGACAGTTATGGACAGCTGTGTGCGTGTTGAAAAATCAAATACAGGTCTTCTGAAAGAGCAGCAATCAGTGGTCTTAACTCCTGAGCCATCTCCCCAGCTACATGCCCGCCTTTAAAAAATATTTTTCTTCTATGCATATGAGGTTTTGCCTTTGTGTATGCATGTGTACCAAGTGCATGCAGTGCCTCATGGGGGCAGGAGAGAGTGTCAGAGCCTCTGGGACTGGAGTGAAAGTCCTGAGCAGCAGGTGCCCTTAACTACTGAGCCTCTATCTCTCCAGCCCCTACCTCTAATAGTCTGAAAGGTACTTTTCCAGAATTCCTTTTCATCACAGCTGGTCGGGTCCCCACCTGCTTTGCTGATGTTTGTGGTGGGTGGGGGCCTAGGCAGACACAAGGCCTGGGTGGGTCTGAATAACCTCCAAGGTCACCACACACACACACACACACACACACACACACACACACACACCTGCATGGCAGCAGAGCTTGTCCAGGTAAATAGCTACAGTCTCTACTCCCATTGCCCAGGGATGGGCAGGGAGACCCAGAGAGGCAGTGACTGCCTTGAAAGAGTTCAGCGTTCAGTGCTCATGTTGGCGATATTCCCTCCAAGATGGGGAGAGCTTTTGATAGGATGGGCAGAGGAACACAGGGGACTGGACAGCAGGGTGTGTGTCCTCAGGCACTTGTTTTCCTGCCAGAAGGCAGGAAGAAAAGACACCCAAACCTCTTTCCCACCCGGAGCTGGTGGTGGCAGAGGTAGGAAGGCAGCTATTTAGCCAATAGCCCAGCTCTAAGGAGGCACTGCAGCCAATGGGCTCCAGATACGGCCTTTCTGTTTAGAGGGCAGGGTGGGAATTTAGGATGGACCGTATGTGGGGCTGTAACTGCCTCTCCATCCTTAGGACAGGCTGACCCAGGGCTTAGGACTAAGAACTAAGGATAGAGTTGCCCAAGAATGTCCCCAGAGAAGCTGCCGATTGGAATGAATCACCACCCAGCCCGTGTTCTGCACCCCACCCCCATCCTCTGATCAAAACACGAACAGCTCTGGAGGGAGCTGTTGCTGTGAATAGAGCAGGACCTGCTGCTGCTGCTGCTGCTGCTGCAGTGCAACTTTAGGGAAGTCCCTTGTCTCTGAGCCTAACACCTGTCCCTTTAAATGGGACTCCTTGGCCAGGCATGATGACACACAACTTTCATCCCAGCACCCCAGAGGCAGAGGCAGGAGGATCTCTATGAGTTCCAGGGCAGCCAGCCAGGGCTGTATAGTGAGACCTTGTCTGAAAAGTAAATGAATAAATGTGACCCCCTAGTGACCTGTCCTCAAGGTTGTATGACTGACTGACAAGTGAGCAGGAGCGGAAAAGCAGCTTCCCTTCACTTAAGAGTGTGAACTGGGTCACTGTCGCTCCCCAGGGTGATCAGGAGCCAGGCCACTGCCGACCCCCAGGGTGGTCAGGAGCCAGGCCACTGCCGACCCCCAGGGTGGTCAGGAGCCAGGCCACTGCCGACCCCCAGCCCTTCCAGTTGCAGCTCAGCTGTGCAAAGAAAGCAAGAAAATATGTATGGCTGAGTGTGGTGCATTATATATAGCTCTAACCCTAACACTCAGGAGGCTGGGGCGGGAGGACTGCCCGGGCTAAATCGCAGGTAAAGCCATCCAGAGCATCAGAGTAACCACAGGCCCTAGTGAAAGAAAGACAGTGGGAGACGGGAGAGGAGAGATGGGAAGGAGGAAGGGGAAGAGAGGGAAGGAGGGAAATCAACCCCATGTGTCTGTGTCTCATGCATACTGAAACCTGGAAATAGATTCTAAAAGCCAACCAAAGGTTGTGTGTCCTGTGTTTCAAAGAAAAGTTATCCTTTGACCCTTACGTCCTTCTATTTCTCATTTGGTTGGGGCAAGAGCACGAGGCCATCCAGTTTCATGGTCCCAGAGAGGATAAGTAGCAGGGCCAGGGACACACAGCATTTAGGCCACACCCATGATGATGGTTTCTAAATCCTGTTTCCCCACCAACCACTGCCTGTAGGATCTGTGGAATTAACAGCAGGTCCTTGCTGAGTGCAGACTCACTGTGAGTGACCTACACTGGCCACGGCAGTAAACTCTCCCAGCTAGAGTGATCTTGTTTGTTTATTTGAGACAGAGCCTCACTATGTAGCTGTGGCTGTTCTGGAATTCCCTATGTAGACCAGCCTGGCCCTCAATTGACAGAGCTCCTCCTGCCTCTGCCTCCCTGGTGCTGGGATTAAAGGTGTGCGCCATTATGCTCATCTTAGAATGATTGCTTACCTGCTGAGTACCAGGCCCCATGTATCACACACGTACTGATGTCTTCTGTTGGCAAGCCCAGGTCTGAGCCTGAAGGTCAGGGTCCTGGAACCAGCATCCCAGGATGGCAATGTCTGTGACCCTGTGGGGCAGCGTGACAGCAGACTCCTGTCCCTGGTGTCCCTGTGCTCGGAGAAGGGAGAGCCCCAAGCTAAGTTGGTACTCTCAGCACCGGACCCGACTCTTGTCCCCTCCCGATCCACCCTCAGTCCCTGCTGGTTTCTGCCATGCGTCCTCCCTTCTGTGGGCCTCTGTTTCTGTCCGTGTCTGCTGTGATAGCATCAGAAAAACGAGGTGCCTCCAAGCCCTGAACCTTGCTTCTGTTTCTTTGGCACCTGCTGGCTTCACAGCTCCATTCCTGGGCGGGGTAGCCTCAGGTCCTCCTGTCCTTCCCAAGGGTGAAAGGAGGCGGGAAGGACGTCACGTCTGTAAACAGGCAGGCAGCTCTGTTCTGGATGGGGAAACTGAGGCACAACTATCACCAACAGGCAGAGCCCAGCAGGACCACATGGAGCCATCTGCACATGCATCAGCCCCTTTCCCAGCCCAGGAGTTTTTCTTCCCGAGACCTCAGATGGCTGAGGGCAGGAGCAGCAATGAACTATGGGGACCAGATCTGAGGGCACGAGAGACCAGGCCTTGGTCCCGCTCTGTCCCTGCCAGCCGTGTGACCTTGAGGGTGACACCTTCTCACCACTGACCTCGGGGTCACTTCCTGGCAAATTGAACCAGGTCCTCTGGAAAAGCAGTCAGTGCTTTTAATCGCCGAGCCACCTCTCCAGCCCCAGAGCTACTCATCTTTAAGGGGCTTCCGGGGCCGAGTGAGAAGACAGCAGCACTGACCACGCAGCCAGACCTCCACATCTGTCCCCGCATTTGCATGCACAGTGCTGGCTCAGGCGAGCGAGGCTCAGAGAAGTTCCTCCGCACTCTGCGCTGTGCCCCCATACAGCTGCCATCCACACAAGTTTCCCATGCTCATTTACATAAAATTCAGACCATCCACAATCAGATAACGAGTTCCTCTGGGAACCCTACTTCTATCAACCAGTCCCCCTAGGCAACTTCTGGGATTCCTGTCACCCGAGTCTTTTGGCCTCTTTCTAAGCTTCACAGACATGGGATCATGCAGTACGCCACCTTTTAACCCACTCCACGAATTTCTCTGAGAGCCACCCACGTTCCTGTTTCTATCATTCTTCAGAGTTGCATCAATGGTCCAAGACCATCTTTGTTTTCTTTTTCTTAATGGATATTTGGTTCTTTTGGGAGGGTTTTGAGTAAAACTGTTCTATGACTATAGTTCCAGGTACTTGGATACCTGAGGCTGGAGCATTCTGAGTTCAAAATGAGCCTGGGAAACTTACTGAGGCCCTGTCTCAAAGAAGGGAAGAAAAAAAGAGAGAGAGGAAGAAAGGAAGGAAGGGGAGGAGGAAGGAGGGAGGGAGGAAAGAAGGAAGAGAGAGAGAGAGAGAGAGAGAGAGAGAGAGAGAGAGAGAGAGAGAGAGAGAGAGAGAACCAGGGCTGGAGAGATGGCTTAGGGTATAGGGAGATTGCTGCTGTCCCAGAGAACCTGATTTGGTTTTCAGCACACATGTCAGCATGTCAGCCTGTTTACAACCCCCAGTTACTCCAGCTGTAAGGGATCTAATTACCTCTGGCCTCTGAGAGCACCTGCACTCCAGGGCATGTACCCACAGACAGACAGACATGCATACATACAATTATAAGTAATAAAAATAAATCTTTTTTAAAAAGAAAAGAAAAAAGAGACAAGGGTCAGTGGTGGAGCCCTTGTGTTAGGCCTGAGTTTATTCTCCAGTACCAAAAAAAAAAAAAAAA